GGATTCAAGCGTCACCACGGATGGTGCTGTTATGGAGTTGGTATTTTTAAAAAAAATATTTATAGGAAATATTATCGCTAGTTTCACAGTAGCCCAGATGCTTCTTCAGTTTCCTGAAGGTGAAGTACGAAAACCATACTTACCCGCAAGAAATCTTAATGTGGAGGTAACACGCTCAAGTAGAGAATTCAGCTAGTACTAGGGACTTGTATTGCGGTTCAGGGCATGCTTTTTCCTACCTTTGATGATGGTACAAATACTCCATATTTTTTATCTACCGCGAATTTTTTGGGGGGACACACGAAGCTTGCATGTATTTTTCATTCCATTTCATTCATCATTCATATAAACATAATTTTCGCACGGCATTGTGTGCATTATCCTTCTTTTGACAACGAGCCTTTGGTATAATTCATAAGATGATGTGACTACTATGATCTGATTCTATTTCGGTTGACGCGAGACTAGCAAAAACTATACTGGTATTAGTATAAAATTGTTGTTTCATCTAATTAAAAAATTTATTGAATTCTGAATTTTAAACGAGTGGTGACTAATAAACCATTTGTTTAAAAAAATTAAGAAAATTGGTTATTTATACAGAAAAGAAGCTGGCTAGTATGTAGCTGATCTTATGGAATACTTCTATGCATTTTTGTGGCTTCATGTTTGTTTTTCTTAACATGCATGACCACTTTTCGAACAGCTTATACTATATGAACTTAACCAGAGGTTTAATCTATAACTTTTCATTAATTTAAAGAACTTTTACATGAGCATTAGCAAACTTAATAATTGTGGAATTCAACTTTTAACGCAAAAAAAGAAGTATTATATAAAATGCAGTTACTTCAATGAGTTTTAGATAAAAGTGACCTAATAAAATAAACCTTTGGATAGTGGCTGTTCATTAATATATGAACGACTAATTGAAGTAATTACTGTTACATTAAAAGTAAAAAAATATGGTATATAAGGCAGAACTAAAACATTTAAAAAAATTGCTGTTGTTTATTAACTTAAAAATAACTGCTTTTTTAAGTGCGATATTTAATTTAGTAATGCTGTAAATCCTACATATATTTAAACAAAATATACTTATATATTGCATTATTTAAACCATTTAAGGGAAGTTCATTTAAGAAAGCATTTAAGGGAAGTTCATTAAAGGAAGCATTTAAGGGAAGTTCATCATGCAAAAACATATATGGTATTCTACCCCATGAAAAATTTACTCTCCAAAATACATGCAATTAAGGATTTTTTAATTAACATTCAACAAAATTCATAAATAAATTAAATTAGACATACACAGCGTTAAATATATACAACGATCCTTTCCTGGGATATCCTATTCCTATCTTCCAAACGATTCTTTTCTACGATATTCTGACAAAAATTAATGTTATGCTTTTGAATAAATAGTTCAATGACGGCTAGAAATTCATCGAATGGATGAGGTGTCATGCGAAAGTAATCAAAAGAAATTTCGTTTCGTTCAAGCGCATTTCTTAAATTTAATTATTTGCATCTTTTTGCTGCAGTCATTTCTCACATATTAATATAAAGCACTAATTATCGTTTTCTTACACAGAGCAGGAAGTAAAATAAGTTTTAATCGAGCAGAAATTAAATCCATTTTAATTTAAAAATGTAATCGTAAAAATTCAAAATACCACAGAAAAATTTCACGTTTTTCGCCAAGTTTCCGATATGAAGAACCATCTATTGCGAGCATATGACAACCTTTAAAACGAAAGTTGCCGCTCTGGTGTGAACTGACGGACGCGGAAACAGTTTTTTTTTCGCGTTGCCGCTTTTCGCTCCAACGTACCAGTGTGAACGCAGCTTAAGCGGCCTATCCGCTCAACCAATCGAAATGAAATTTCAAACACAATTATTTTAAATCATGTGCTCGAAATTGTGATGAATTTAAACGATACAGGTATCAGGGTTACAGTTACATTGAAAAAAAAAATGACGTTCACAGTGAAAAAATGACGAAAAAATGTTTGAATGGCAATACCCATTTTTCCTGCGCAAAATTGATCAGCATTGAAAAACTATAAATGCGATGGAAGAATACGCATATGATGAAACTGCGGGCGTAAAACATTTGCAAAGAAAATTGTTGGAATTACCAGTTTTCAACGTTCCTACCTTCGCAGACGATAGTGCATTGCATGCGGTAGATTGTTGACAGCAATGATGAATGTAACATTGCAGAAGGAATCTTCATAACTTCACGTTTTAAGCATCTTTCGATTCTGACAAATCTCATGGACCTGTTGTGTACCTCAGATTTCAGATAACCTCGGAGTCAGAAATCCATCGGACTGAGGTCGGGGGAACACGGTGGCCACGAAACTGCAAAGTTACGGGAGCTGATTCTGTCTTCAAAGTGCTGCAGTCCTTGTTGAACACAAGTCGCTTCTGTTCGACGCCATCTTGCATCCATACATGCCATTAACGACATTTCACTGCTGTAACTCTGCAACATTATTATATACCGAGCACTTGTGATAGAGCCCGTTGTCATATTTTGGAAGTAACCTCTTCGAAGAAGTACGCACCGAAAGCAAATTTGCTTGCCATGCTACACCATTCAATCACTTTAGCTTCGTGTAAAGGCGCTGTAGCCACATTGTGAGGATTTTCATCATGCCAGTAGACGCATTTCCTGGAGTTTACGCTCGCAGTTACGGAGTTCATCCGTTCATAACATCCACAAAGGCCACTTGCTATCTTTATCATATATTATGAAAAAAGAATTTTCAAAGTTGGCAAGCCGTTGCTTGTCTCAGCGACCGTAAGAGGGTAGAAAAAAGTTCGGTCAACCCTGTTTTATTGAAGTACTTCATACCTGAACAAAAGTTTGCCGTGGCCAGCTTCGATAGCTACAAGACGGATATTCTGGCCCTGAAAAGTTAGTCTTTGCCGTTGTGAGTTTTGTAAGTGGTGGACACGAGTTTAATAAAAGGCGGTTCCTCCATCACTTATCACTTATGGATTAGTGTATGATTGGTTCCAGGAAATTTGAACGTACACGCGGCTGATTTAATTAACTGGTGAGTTTAATAAGCGGCGGGTATTGTTGTCACTATCTGTTATTAACTTGGTCTATTCTAAGATCTCTATAAAAATTTAAATTCATAACAATATTTAAAATTTTAAATAAGAAAGCAAAAGTTGAATTGAAATTTTTCCCTTCAAAAGAAATGAGTTATTATGGAATGACGCTGATAATTTTTAACATTTAGTATATGTATAAAAACGTGGTTTCTTATTAAAATATAATATTTTATTCCTGGTACTAACTTTACATTTTTAAATACAAGAATTTAAAAATATACGGTACCTATTTTAAATGTTATTGGATTTGGTGAACTCATTGAAAGTGAAGTTACAGAACACATGCTCTCAGGGGCGTAGCTAGAGGGGGGCATCTGTCCCCGGGCGCAGAATCCAAGGGGCGCCAAACTGATGTTACGACATTTTAAAATTAAATGTTTTCCATACTTGGCAAGTAGTAGGGGAAGCGAAATCTTCAGTTGTCCCTGGGCGCTGAAAACCCTAGCTACGACTCTGCATGCTCTATTTGCCTTCTTAATGATAGGCGATACATGAAACAGAAAACCTTAGCCTAAAATGTTTTTAAATTCAAATGCATCTATAAACATTTTCTCATAGATTAATTCTTTTCTGAATTCATTTTACCATAGCAGGAGCTTTGGAGCTTCCCTTTAACAAAGGATTTTACAGAAGAAAGAAACTTCAAAAAAGTCAAGCATAATTTCTCAGGATTAATGTAGTAGGATAGCTTTCTGAAATCGTTTTATGATTCAAATGCGGATTTACATAGTTAACTTCATGCACGAGATCAAAACAACTCGAACTCTGACACTGAAGTTGTCAAGAAAGCACTTAAGAAGTTTTTCAAGGTCTCATCGAAACAGGTACGAAAAGTCAAACAACTTTTAGGACTTAGCATTTTTTTTTTTTTTTTTTTTTTTTTTTTTTTTTTTTTTTTTTCTGGAAAAAAAAGGAGGCAAAGTTCAGCAGTCTTGTCAGAAGATTTGGGGAAAAAAGAAAAGAAATTTGATAGGAAGTCAGAAAAGAATCTTTTATGATGGGATTAAATAATATTTCACGGAAAATAAAAAAACTGCGTTTTCCTTTTAAAGTGCTTCAGCTGAAGTGAGGCATTTTAACGTTTTTTCCCTACTTCAAAATAAACTTTACAGGGTTGATGATATACTTGTCATCAGCTTATCTTAAAATAAATTCATTGACGTTTTTCATTTTTATTATCTTCTTTTATTTTTATCCAATACAGCTTAGTGCAGTATTGTACTTCTAACTTCCCTAGTTATGAAGTCGTTGCTTTTCTTCTTTTTTTATACTTCTAAAGAGCTACAGGCGAAGGTGAGACATTCTCTCAGTAAAGAATCTCTCTAATGTTTTGGAATATATATATTTTCTTTTCATAAATATCTTTTATACCAGTAAATTTTTAATTTAGAACTGACTAATTTTTAATTTAATTTTGAAACAAAACTAAGACATTACTTATTTTATACCTTGTGACATCTAATTATTTAAAAACACAAATTTACTTATATCATTTTACAGTGCAGTAGACCATCTGAAGTTTAGAAAAAAACTCCATTTTGGATTTCAGATAGGTACTTCATCACCTGACAAATTATTCGGGTGATCTCAGAACAGATTTTAAACTGAAGAATAAGATTACATTGAGGATTAGAGAACAATCATTTTCACCAAAACGAATTTTACGATACATTTGGAATTGACACAAGTATCCAAAGTTACCACATACAGTTAAGCAATAAAATTAATCGATAAATACCAGAAATAAAGAAAAATAGACAACAACAATACAAAGTGTTTTCCTCTTTTCCAAAAATTATAAAATAAATTGGAATGGATTTTCGGATACTTCGAAAAATGCCAGAATATACAGTTACAAGAACACTTACCGAATTATTATTAACATCTATGGATGAAAACTTCCACCTTGCAGCTTTTTCTGCGGTTGGAGTATCGATACTGAAAGAAAAAAAATGCAGATATTAGAATTTAAAAAAATTGACTTCGCTACATTCATCTTACGATATATCTTCAAGTTCTCCACCTGTAGCTACGAAGGTTTGATATAAAATCGTAACAACGCATTATACTTTCCACTATGGAACTATAAAAATGGAACTTCGGATAGTTTTGTTGTTACGATTAATGATTTCCTGACAATCATAAGATCTCAGGAAATACTTTAAATTATTGCAAAGAAGTGCAGAATAAACTTCTGTTATAGTCTACATGTTTAATACCCATTTTGAAATATTCAAAGAACGTAGGTGAGTTCTCAGAAGAGCAAAGTGAGTACTTCCATCTGCCGGACTTTAAACATGAACAAAAAAATAAAACATTAGGGGCTAATCTTTTGATGTAAATAGAAGGAAGTATAAACTTAAAATTAAAAAAAAAATTAAGAAAATTCCTCGCTACAAAAATATTAATGGTAACAGTTTTATTCGTCGCTGTCAATATACAAGTTCATTTGTCAATATACTAAATTTTATTTCTATTTACATCAATATATTTATCGTAAGTTACTTGATTTTTTTTCCACTGAAAGTTACCTAAAGTAAGGTTGTAGTTAGTTTCTCACCGTTTTAGTGAAATTTTAATATTATCTAACTTTTAGTCCTTAAAAATGTCAAGACAAATTCAAGACAAAAAAAAAAAAAAAAAAAAAGAGTAAGTAAGAAAGAAAAAAAGTTCAGAGTTTGCTGAATTGAATGTTATTGAATACGATTATTCAGATAAATAGTAGTAACAATAAGGAAAATTTGGAGTTTTGTATGAAAAATTTCACTATAAAATTTTGAATGGTCTAAAACATCAAAAAATTAGTTCCGTTACTTTTTTTCCTTCTACTGCTCATGTTGGAACTTATGCTTTATAAATAAGGAGCATTACTGCACGCTACATTATGCTTAGTATGATGTACAGTTATTCTTCGTCTCAAAAGAAGTGATTTTATAATTAACATTTTGTTTAGTTTACCCTCAAAATGCAAATGAGTTTCCAAATTAACAAAGCGTTGTATATCGTCAGCAGTCCCCTCTGATCTTTTAAATGCGTTAAGAAAACACTGTCGATGTTTTACTTAAAATAGACCTCTTACTTTTAAAAAGTCTTCTCCCCGCAGAGTTCGTGTAAAGAACAAAACAGCTGCTGAGGAAATAGTTATTTATTGATTTTTCAACACCAACCCTCTTAAAAGGAGAAAAATGCTTCTTAAATTCTGTATCACATAAGATCTTATAAACTACCATTTCGTCATCAAACTCCCCCCCCAAAAAAAAACACTCGGGAAAGATCTTGTGCATAGATAATTCCTCTCCAAATAGCAAAAACAGAATAAAAAATTTTAGATTATTTTTGCTGATTATTAGACATTGATCCTCACAGAAGGCGAGCAACACATAAGTGATGCTGTAGCAAAAACTTTATTCATCATTTTGGTTCTAGAATCTCTAGAAAAGAAAAAGAGAATATTTAGTTTGTTTAAAATTTTATGTTTTTGAGAAAACAGAGTAACGTTGTTCTTCTGATTATTAAATTTCTCCTTAGATCTGTCCCATCCCAAAATAAATAAATAAACTAGCAATTTGGATCTGCAGCATCCAGTTTAGCGCTTGAAATTGATTTCGATTAACTTCTAGTTCATGATAAAACATGGGAGCAGTTTTTAGCCTTACCGAAGAGTCAAAAATGAGGGAATGGAGAATAAAACTTAAGAAGCATTAAGTGATGAAATTCTTTCGCTAATAGAAATTTAGCTTTTGCATAACAGTAAGGAACAGGTATTAAGAATTAAACATAAAGCTATAATTATATTTTTTATACAGAAATTTAGTTTAAAGTTTAAATGCAGGAGCCATATATGGACAATTTTTATCACTGTCAGTAACATTTTGGAAGAAAAATATAGAAACGAATGATAAAAAGGAAGAACATACGATCGATCATAATCGGGAGACTGTTAGTTTAAAATCATATTAATTCTGTATAAAAAAACCTTTTCTTGCAAAGAAACTTGATAAAAGTGGCAGCGTCAGAAAGTAATTTTAAACGACTCTTGACACAAATTACAAATAATTTTAAACGGCTTTTGACACAAAATCACATTCATTTGTGATTAAAATTAACATTAGACAGAGATCTGAGAATCTTGAAGTTATTTCAAAAGATACACGATTTTCAATTCATTTCTTGCCAATTCTCAGAAATACCAGTCTATGTGGCTAAAATCCTTAATTTATCTTCCGAGTTAAAATAATAGACTGCTTAACCTAAGCAGTTTAAAAGCAACAAAGTGCATCTTACTTTTAATATCTGTAACTGATATGACTCCTAATATATAGATTTGATGCACACTGTTAGCCATTAAAATTGAAATAGTAACAAAGGTAACACAACTAAGTTTATTTTGAAGATTCCTAATTAAAAAAAAAAGATGCGAAATCCTAAAATTTCAAGCACATTATAGAAACAAAATGCGTTATGTTTTGTACCGAATGTAGCCACTATACTTAACAACAACCGCTGCTATACAAGATTCAGAGAGGCGAAAATAATATGGTTGACATTCTAAGATATTGTTTTCCAAGTAACTGTAACTCGTAACCAGAGTTCATCTACAGAAACAACTAATGGTTCTCATCGTGACAATGCGTGTGACAGGGAGACCATGAGTATTAAGTCTGGAAAAAGTCTGGCAAATGCTCCAGCCAAGACCATAGTAGAAAACTTTTGTGCGTCAAGTAGCTTTAGTTAGCTAGGTTCAGGGATATACCTCAGTTATCTGTGGTACTGGCCTAGCTTCTACCTGTACCCTTGTATTGAGTAAGTGTACTCGTGTATTGAGTAAGTGTACCCGTGTATTGAGTAAGTGTACCCGTGTATTGAGTAAGTGCTACCCGTGTATTGAGTAAGTGCTACCCGTACCCGTGTTGAGTAAGTGTTGGACGTTGAATATGATACGATTTTGGTGGCGTACTGTCTTGCTGAAAACGGAATGTATGGGACAACTACATGCCTTAACACATCTATAATCCAGAATACTCATCAGGCATTAGCAGCATTTGTATCTAATCGCACCTCATACCATAAATCTTGGTACTGGGCCAATATGACAAAGCAAAAGGCAAGATTCCAACGAGCGCTCTCCATGGTGGAGTCATACGCTCTCACGTCCATCATGAAGGCAAGACAGGATGAAGATGGTGATACCAAACCAAGTTCAGCTAATTACCATCTTTATTTCCAGGCACATTAGAATAATTATTCTTAGAGAATATATTTTTTAATCATAAAATATTATAATAATTTCTTATATACACAGATTAACGGCGCGATATCATTTTAGACGGACAAGTAAAGCAGCGTACATCTTGGCGTGGCAGAAGCTAGGAGAAAATGATGACGCAGTTTATTTGCCAGCGGCATTTATACTAAGTACATGCAGAACATACTCTAAGCCATGATTGGTTAATTTGAGGTTGTTATATAATCATTGAAAGATCTCGAATTTTGGAGAACACATGAATTTAAGGGGAGAGCGCGAAATCTAGAATATAAATTTTGAGTTGGCCAATTATTTTTAAAGCAGCTATCGTATTTTGTAATATCTTAAGCAAAATGTATAATAATGCCTATATATATCAAATGCTGTATGATCTTAAATTCATTTAGTGCGAAAACAAGTTACTACTACTTGCGCAATTGCTGCAAAGTAAGTTAAGAATAATTTATTTACAAATAATATTGATTAATTGATTATATTATCTCCTAAGTTTAATTAAAGTAGAATTATCTTAAAAGAGTGAATCCATACTAGTAAGTTATATTTTGAAAGATGTTTTGAAGTAACTTGAAAGTAAAATGTTAATAATGTTTTAACGGGGACTGGAATTAAATCATCATGAAGAACAAATATACACGCTTAAACCTTATTATATTAGCTATTTTATTCTTAGCCATATCGTAAGGCGTAAAAAATAAAACTAACGTTTTAACACCCAAAGTTCACAAAAAATAATAATATTCATTTTATATTTCATTTCTATTTAAATAAAACGATAAACGACAACATACATGTAAGGTTTCGAAGTGAAATTCTAAAAAACGAATTACATTTTATATTATTTACCGCAAGACTATGAAGCCTGCCACTCTTTTAAAGTCAACAGCCATAAATTCGATTGTGTCCTTTCCTTGCTTTGTATGAGAATTTAATGGTTATTATCACAGCAGCTTCCAGTATATTGTCCTACTATAATTTCAGCTAGTGAGGATTAAGTAGTATATTTCATACTGAACAGTTTTGTACACTTTCGTATCCACGAGGTAGAGAACGAGTTCATTAACACATTAAGCAAGTCTCGATTGACGTTAAAGTGACGTCACGTTGATATAAAACAGAGATTAAATTTCAGCGATATGTGCAGGTGAAAATTCCGTTGTCCCATGAATCATTTCTCGAATTCCTCTGTTCCTTCCAGTGTCATCCCTTTAATCATGTTTTAAGACAGACTGATAGAGTTTTGGCGCCACATTACAGTCAGATGTAATTATTTCATCTGTATATTTCAAATACAGTGAAATAAAAAAATTAAAGGACAATTAATAAAAAAAAAATTATCTGAAAGCTTTCAGATTTTATATTATGTCCAAAGGGGCCTTTTTCAACGTCTTGTAGCTTTATTTATTAAATATGTTCTTCGCACATAAACCATAAAATTTAATTCAACAGCAATATTAGAAATTAATTTAAAAAGAGCCCATCTTTAGAATTCCCGATACTCTTCAACTTAAAAACTGATGTTCATAAGGGTGCAAACACCTTTATACATGCCCGAATACCTCGGGAAAGTTTATGTTTGGGCAAACAGTGGTGGAAGTGTGTGCCATTTAACTTGTAATGCCATATAAATAATAGTAAGTAAAAGAGTAAATTGAACGTGCAATTTTTACATTAAAAATATTACAATTTTACATGCAATTTTCTCTAGTATACTTCAGGATAAATATTACATTTCGTTAGAATTGGCAATAAAAAAATACTAATATGTCAATTTAGTCACAATTCTGCACATTATTCTCTCTTCATTCATTAAATCATAATACAGAATTATTATAAATGATTCGTCGATTTTTCAGGTCCGCAGGAATTAATATTCATGCAACGAAAGAAAATATCTCAAATTTTTAAATTAGCGCGGGAGGATTTTATTGGGGCAACTCATATAGCAGATAGGAATTCCATTTTCAAAACGGAAAATTTGCAGCAGAAAGCATTTATCATTTTAGAATACACGAAGTGTTGTTACTGGGAAAAGTGCATTTTGAAGATAAAACTACACAGATCTTCTAAACAACCAAAATATTCTTAAGAAAACAGGTTGCCATCTCACATTTACAGTAAGATATGTCTCCAAGAGAATGACGAGCTCTCGCATCCCTGAATTGGTCGGCACCGCCCAATTCAGGCTGACTCAGCATTTCCGAGGGCAACTAAAGTCTCCCGCTATTATATTTTCCTTAAAGGTATGTTAAAGGCAGTATTTATGCACTCGCACTGCCAGCAGTAGTAGAGGAGCTCTACGACTGCATTACAACTTCTGGTAATTATCACTGGGAGATACTACGTACTATAACGCGTATAGACAAAACTGCAGTATCGTTTGAAAGTGTGTCGTGTAACAAGAGGCACACACGTAAAAAATTTATAGTGTTATGACTAAAATTTGAAATAGTTTTTCTTCATTTTATGTAATACTAATTTTTTTTTTTTTTTTAAATTTGCAATGCTTTAAGAAATACACCGTTTTGAAAACTGCTGGATCACTTGTAATAAAATTGAATAGAATATTTCGTGTGTTTCTGTTATTAAGTAAACACGTATAGTTATGACAGCAATACATGAGATATGTTATATCAAAAATGAATCTGAAGAGGAAAAATATTACCCATTGATGAAAACCCATATTGTGAATAATTTTCATTTTATTTATATTAAGAAGATAATAATTCTACAGTAAAATGATTATTAGTTTGGTTTGATTTATTTGATTATGGAAAAGCACTCGAAGGTTATCTGCCCGAGGGGAGGCCTTCGTAAAGAACTACTGGGGAACTGGCTCGTAATACATGTTACACATTGGTAAAAACACGAAAACGTCCATGTAGTAGCCAGCGCGTTAACTGAGACTCAAACCCCGGACGGAACTATCTCTGTTCAGCGACTTTACCGCTCCGCCGCTGTAAAATGATTATTAAATTACTCACATTAATTTTACTTGATATCACAAGGTAAATGAAATTTACAGCAATAAAAACATTAATGAAAGTGGAGTTTCTCTTTTGAGGAGTAGTTATCGGAAGGAAAAATAAAATTTTAATTTTTTCTCATTAATTGGTTCGCAAATGATTAAATTTAAATGAAATAACTGCTTTTTAAATCATTGAAATGCATTTTATTAATATTTTAGAAAGTCATTTAGCAATCTCGTAACCCTCCCCACCATGACTATTTCTTATTCAATTGTTTTTTTATTCTTTCAAACAATTATGTTTTCATTCTTCTAAGCTTATTACTGCATGTTGTTTTCTGTGATTAAGATTCGTTGTTTTGTTGGTTGTTTCTTATTCGTTTTTTGTTGTTTCATTTCGGTTTTCATTTCATTTCGGTTTGTTTCTTATTCGTTTTGTTGGCAGAAACAAGTACACTAATATATATATATATTTACCTGAGTGATCTATTTTTAGCATCTTCAATCATTTCTTTAATAAAAGATTGCACCAATTCATCTAAAAACTCTTGCTTCTTGTGCAGAGAGCAACCTTGAAAAATAAAAGCAAAATTTAATTAGACAAAAGAAAATTAAATAAAAAACTATTTAAATTACCAATGTTATCAAAAGCAAATACGCTGAGAAAAGTTCAAAGTTATAGTATATAGATGTGCATGAATTGAGAAACGCTCTTAATGAGTATCCACTGAATTAGGATACAAGTTTATTAAGATATCTTATTTAAAATAATATGCGAAAATATGTCCTTTCATTTTCTAATGGTCATTTTCTTCTTTGAATGCGAAATGAGCAGCTTCTTATATAGCCAATTAGTTTAATTAGTTGTCTTCATCAAAGTATCCACTGACACGACGATCGTTTCCTTCTGACTCAACCAATCGAGCAGATTGAGTCCGACAGGAGTGAATAAAATTTTTCTTTTCGTTCTAAGACTGAAATAAAATACTGCATTAGGACGAGTTTGTCATCATTCTTGATAATAATTCTTGTCATAAATTTTTATTAGCTTCATAGATAATGTTTCATCTGTGACATATTCATTTCAGGAGAAAATGTTAAAAACGAAGAAATTTTATCATCAATTACTAAACTATAGCATGGCCAACTCCTGATTATCCGGGAACGTATTAAATGGGTGCGTATTAATCGATCATGTCTGAAGCTTGTATAATGAGAAATGATAGAAAAATTATTATCAAATGCCATCAGTGTAAAACAAAAAGTCTACTAAAAATACAGAAAAAAAACTCAGAATAACAGCAGTGATAAGATGATATCACAGTATTTGAGAGATGTGGTTATTCACAACAATATGTAATTTCATTATACATAATCTGAAACATTAAAATTTTGACTGTGAATTTTGACTGTGTTTTGACTGTTATTTTGATTGTCATTCGTTAAAAGTAAATTAAAACTCAGTCGCAAAATTAAATCAAGTGCACAGCCATTAATCTTCTGTTTGGTATTGGATCCTATCAAAATACAAGGTAAAGTAAACAAAACATCCTTCTTCCAGCTTTGAAATATGTTTTCTTTGTTTCAAATACTCATACAATTCCCATAACCCAACGAACTTATTCTCCAGAATCAACTATTTGAAAATATTAGGTAAATAGTTAATAATATTTTTCTATTAATCATAATACGGGATATTCCACTTTCTTGTACCTTTTTTAACTTTCTTAGGATTAACTCTAGACGTCGTCCTCGGTACATCCCATCCACTGTATTAGCAAAATGAACAAAATAAAAACAAAATATTACCTTAAGCGTTATTAATACTATAGTATTACTTACGATAATAGTATAGGCATTCATCAAAATTAGGCAGATTTGAGTTTCCTATAAGTATCAGAAAATCTTAGGTAAAAAATTAAATCTCCTCAAAGCATTTTACTTTCAACAAATTCTGTAAACTTGCGATGATTATAATGATTTGAATTCAAATCTTATTCTTGCCAAGATGCTTTAAAAGTATTCGCAGCTTTTGAACATTTTTCTTTCCATCACTAATAGAGCTATTTTGCTTCTTTTATATTAGTTATGAATTTATAGTTACCATTAAAATCTAACGTTGGTCCAAGAATGTATTTTGTCTAATTTTAAAATTGTAGTTGGCATGCTTCTGTGTTACATTTCTGAGATATTTACCCTCTAAAAATGTTTTTAAATGTAAAACCTAAATTCAGCCTTAAAAACAATCGATTGAAATCAGTGTGCATAAGAGTTACAAAGCATTAAAAAATATACAAACATTATCTAAAGTTTTAATAATTTTATTATTTAATACGAAAGACTTCAAAATTGCTCAAGTAATTAGACTAAAATTATAACTCTGAAAACATGAATATTCTCTTTTACCTGGTACAGGGTGGTTATAATTAAAGTTCCACTTTGAAATAATTATAAAAAGAAAACTAATGGACCAATTGGTTATCAAACTTGGTAATCGTGTAAATGAGGTCATGGGAATTTATTTTTCGCGGAAAAGAAAAGTTCAGAAACTCACTACCAGGAGGGAAATGGCGCTGTATGCAATATTGTTAAACGAAAATAAGACATGAAGAACATCACTTTAAAATGAATTTACATTCAGATTTTTCATTTAAAAACCAAATCTATACATTCGATGCATAATTGATCCCTTTAATCTCTTCCGTCGTGTTTCTTTTAATTTAAAAGTAAAATTTTGTACTTTTTAATGTAATATTACACACTTAGATTTTACATATATTCTTAAGTGATATAGATGGTATAGTGGTTAGGGGAGCCTACTGCTGTAGCAAAGGGCCCGGGTTCGAATAACGGAGAATAGTTGCAGTGCATAAATATTTGTATTAATTTAATCTATGCATTTAAACCTATTTATATAACATCCTATCCTTTGTATTTGAATACCCAATATGCATTGTAATAGTGAGAAGTGCCGTATTGCATTAGCGGAGTATACAACGAATTGCAAATATGAAAAGCTCCTAGAGTCGTTAAGTTTTACTAAAGCAGAAGGCATGAAAAATGAGCAATGCCCTCGCTGGGACTCGAACATACGCGTTGAGTGTGCTACCGTTACACCACGATGGCATGCTGGAAGGAGAGAGAAGATTAATCTTAGTGTAAGTTAGCATGCACAGTATCTTTTTCCCCCTTTTATCTGTATAACTGCTTATACGCATTTTAAATGTGTACAGTGTTATTGTGTGCAACACGACTTTCAGTTCCCAAGATAAGTCGCTGTGGGGATTTATTTAATTTACTTAATAGTTGTTTTACGTTTAAACGACTTGTGCGTTGAGTTGCGTTCCGTGCGTTAGGTTTTCTTGCCATTAGGCTTGTTTAGGCCGAATTTTCGAGTCAGAGCCAGCTGGCGCGATATTTAACCTATGAGCCGTTAGGCTTACTTAAATTCATTTAATTTTAAGTTATTCATTACTTTTTTTAGGTAAGCCTAAAGTGTTGGCTTTTGTAAGCACGAGTTGTTGCCATCCGTGAACTTAATTTGAGTTACTAACACCATTTCCCTGATTTTGTCATATTTCAAGACTTAGGGTTATTCTCTAAACAGTCTTCTAACGTTCCAGCTGTTTTATCAACGGTGAAAAGTAAAAGAAAAGACAGAAAATATTAATAACTGAATTCTGAAATTTACTGGTCATTAAATTTTACGATAACCGTATGCATTCTCTGTAAAAATTTTAAAAAAATGTAAGTATTACATAGAAATACAAATAAAACATATTCAGATAATCTTTTAAGATTATTTTTGATTATTTTCACCACATATGTTTTCGTCAACTTATTGCATTAACAATAACTCACATATTTTTGTATAACAAAATAAGAATACGAAATATTGGCGGGGAAAAAAGGCAACTGACAACATGAAAAATCAATTCCTTCGCACACAACAAAAATTCAAGAAGGCGATAGGCAGAAACTCAGCACAACAGTGTTTTCCTGTCATCAAGAATAATTTCTTTGATATCTTATTCTTATTATTATACCATCCTGTTTGTCACTGGCATCCAGTCAGGGACAATAATCTAAATAATGCAACGTTGTCGTCGTCGCGGTCGAGTTGGGAGGGGGGGAATCAGGAGCGCGGCGCCCGACAGTCCCCTTCGATAGTGGCAGGTTGGAAATACAGAAGACGCCGAAACCAGTTCGCTCGCATTATCGAATGATATATCGCTGCTGATCAAAATAAAGCACGAATTGCCAGTTTGAATATTATCCACAAGACCGGCGCGGAAATTGGCAGAGATGTAATTTTCTTTCGTTTTTATTAACCCTTTCAGAAGCACTTAAGTTGAAATAGATATTTCTATATCAAATACATGATTATCTTTTCGTTCAGATGGTCTGTTATCTGACCGAACAAGAAACTCTTGATCTTAGTCTTTTTTCGCAGACTGTAACTATCGCGCGCTTAAGACATGAATATTATTAATAAAAATTTAATGGTTTGTAAAAAATTACAATAGTAAATTTTTAATATTAATTTTCCAAACTATATTGCATTAATTTCTTTATATTTATCAACTGCGCTAATTATGTTATTTTCCTACTCAAGCGGGCATGCAGATAAAAAGTACTTCAGTGTCACTTTTACATTCTTGATTATTATTTCAGTCTAAAATGTTTAAAATGGACCATTTAAATGGAAACTACAAGTATTTAATGTAGAATTTTTCAGAAATAAGTAGCATCAACTTCAATTGTAGATATTGGAACTCTGCAAGTTTCGCATAATCACACAAGAATGTATGAAGAACGTAAGAAAGCCTTCTTGCATTCGGCAGGTGTCATATACAACTTTCTGAATTTTCTTTTAGAATAAGTGACTTTTCATTAAATTCTTATCAAAGATTTTGTAAAGAATAATACATTGCACGTTCTTAAGTATTTTGAGTTAGTGGGATACAGATTAATCCAGAAAAATTGAGATCTTAGCTCAAAAATGAAGTATCAACTAACTCAGGGCTGTCCAAGGCCTGCGGGCCGCGTGTCATCCGCGACCTTATTTTCTGTTAATTCATTATTTGTGCTCAATCACAAACAATAAATTAAGAGAATATTATGAAATTAAAAAAACAACTGAACGTCATTCAGAGAACTGGATGTAAAAACAAACGGTCGACGAGCATTTTATTTGAAATTAAAATAAAAATCGAATATCGCCAATTCGTTATTAAGTGCGCCAAGATGGCAAACTTAAAAGTAATTCTTCAAGTTATTGCATTAAGTTGCAAAGGTACTCCGTAACAAATATGCCTTGATCCTTGGATCCAAACGAAAAATGGGTTAGGGCTCGTTTCTACGGTAATAGACAGGTGCAGACAGTTTGGCGAGTATTCTTTGGGTATTCTTCTTGTAGACAGGCAGTAGTTAATAATTATTTGCAGTCATTTTGTTCAACTCAAAAGCCTTTTTAAGTGAAATACTCGGTGAAATATCTCTTCGCAGAAAAGAAAAATAACGAACAAACCTCGAGTTTCTAATGACCTTTCGGAATCAGATTATTTAATT